AACATGTCTACGACGATTTGCAATTGTATCGTTTCCAACACATCGGATTCTAACAGTTTTACAGCAGGACGAAAGAAAAGGTCGGACCTCAACCAGCCTCAGGCATTCCGACCTACAAAACGTCAGACAGGCGCAAGGTACCGAGCTGGCCGCCGTGTTGGAAGCTGCTGGAGGCCGTCGCTATGGTTTTTCATTGAGTGTCGCTTCTGCATCGCTTCTGCGTCGCTGGGGCTAGGGGCAGTGACAAGCTCCCACTTTTGTCCTGCAGCATTTGGCCAGTCTGATGATCTGTCCGGATGCACTGAATCTTGAAGGAAACCCGTCAGAAAGTATCAAAATGTCGTGCTGCTGGTCAGTCCCGGTCAAAGGCCAAGTAGAGCTGGTAGACCTGAAGCAAGCCGTCGGCTCCCGTCCCCAAAACAGTGCTTTGACATGTCCACACCTGGTTCTCAGGTGGAGCAGGAAGCTCAAACCGCGCCAGGACCTGATCGGACTCACTCCAGGGTACGCTCTGTGGGAGCGCCACGAAAACGCCTGCGTGATGAAGTCACGAATGGCACCGCTGTTCCAGGTGAGCTGTCCTTATACGGCCGTCCGGTGCCATGGTGGAAAGTAAGGGACTGCAACGACGGTCTCGGAGTACCCGGGGCAGTTCATTTCATCGAACTGGGCCTCTGTTGCAATCCAAAGGGCGTTTAAGGGCGGTTGCAGTCGGGGCATTGCCGCGGTCAAAGAAAGGTCTAAAAAAATAGAACAAAGAAAATCGCCCCTAGTAGCGTCCTTGCTCCTAGTAGTAAGGCCATGAGCCCCTAGTAGCGTTCTTGTTACTAGTAGTATGGCCAGGAGCCCCTAGTAGCGTCCTTGCTCCTAAGAAGTGACTTTAGTTGTCTTGAAAGCTCGGAGGTTGTGTGAAGGAAAGCCCGGAGATTGTGTGAAGATCCAGCAGCAAATTCTGCACTTCCTGAGCGCATGGCCAACTCCTTCCCGGTCAATGCTCCTGCACTCCCAATGCAACACCACGATGAATGTGCTCGTATCAAGAATGAGCAGAACAAGCACACCTCTGAAAGATTAGATTCAAGATTCCAAATCAAGCCTGCATCAAGTTCGTCCAAATGGTCACATCAAAAGAAAAATCCACCACTCTCTCTTCATCAAATATCATGGAACAAGTTTGGTCCCAACATGAGCGTTGATATTCCCAAATTAAATTACTTAAACATGAATCCTTTCGATTGGTACGTTTGCGCCTTTCAAGTTCAAGTATTCGGCCTGAAAGTTTCGGTCGCGACTTTGTTGAGAGAGCCATCCTCCACACACTGGACCTGCATAGCGTGATGGAACCCCAACAATGCCTGCATGCAAACACCCATAATTACTGGACATCTTCCACCAATCTTTCCGCTCCTTTGCCTGTCTTGCACTTTTGCTACGAAACAGCTAATGAACTTGTCTCCAAATTGTCGGGAACCGTCATAACCTTAAACTCTTTCCCTTCCTCCCTTCCCCAACACAACCGAACGCACTGACGGCCACCGTCACCGCCCTGACCCACCCGGCGCACCATTTGGGGGCGACGCTCCACAATCACTTGAGTACTCAGCCATCTGGCCTCAGCTTCTGAGCGCAAAGTTCACTGAGCAAAGCTGACCAAAAAGCATCTAACGGACAGAATGGGAGAAAATCCCTTGAGTCGAGGTGAATGAGGGTCCAGAATGTTTCGACAGAACCGAAAATGAAGGAAAGTGTCGCTGTGAAATGGTGTAAATGAAGGTGTGAGGCTCTCTAGGCCCAAGAGGCCTTACATGGCCTCAGGATTGCGTTCTCTCGCATTCTGAAGTCCAAGCCCTAGACCTAAACTTAAACGACCTAGGAACGAATTGGGAATGACCTAGGAATGAGAAAGTGCTTATGTCTGTGCGTCTGTGTGTGTGTGTGCGCAAACGATCAAATCCACAAAGTGGTGAACAAAGGATCTGGAACATGCAGAGGTTGCTGATGTTTGGAAGACGGTGTGCTGTCCAAAGCCAGTTACTGGCCTTCTACGAAAAGGGTTGGATCGAAAGTCTTATTTTGCCCCGGTGGGTGCTCAGTCCTCCTCTAGTTGGAGAGTTGCAGGGTCAGAGTTGCTCCATAGGCGTGCAGCAATTTGGCTAGAACCAATTTTTACAAACGCATGAGCTCATAAATCTCATAAGATGCACTCTCAGAACAGGAGGGCCACATGTGCACACAAAAAATGCAACTTCGGTGGATAGCTTCTGTTTTGCAGCTGCTCAGCTTGGTACATCGTTCGGCCGAGCGCTGCCAGTCATCATTGTCTGTGAGGGCTGCAGCCGAGTAGAACCTGCGAGAAAACACAGGGACCCACTAGCTCCTGGCATTACTACTAGGAACAAGGACGCTACTAGGAGCAAAGGGCATCGCCCATCCTCGGTTCTTTGACTTCTCGGGAGGGACAGAGAGAGCCCGTCTTTCACACTCCGTTTCCCTTTCAATGTCAATTTTGCTTGTTGTTATACTTGTTGTTATAGCTTCCTCGGGGCATGGTCGATTTGGCACCTAGATGTCGATTTGGACCTTTGTTGTCTTCCTTTTTAGCCTTTTCTCTCTTTAAGACCTTTTTCGTCATGGATGAAGACAATTGGTGAACCTTCAACAGTGGTCTGTAGGATGGCCCAAAAAGAGGATAATGCACCGCAAGTCGTGCATCATCTGCAGGCGACCCTAGAAAATGCAACCCTTCCACTTCCACTCATGCGGAATGCCTGCTTCATGAAACTCAGACATGGTTTTGACCAATCTCTCTCTCTCTCTCCTTTTGTGTTTTACATGTTGAGGGTGTTGGCTTTCTCCCGTTCAGCTGGTGTTTGCATGTGGTGCTGACTAGGACTATATAGACCTGACATCAACCCCTTTATGGGTTGCCAGTTCCGCGTTAAAGCACCCTTTGATGAGGACCCGCAAACAACTGCAGAACCTTTCCCCCCAAGGTCGGGTAGCAATACCTCAAAAAAGTGACGCCATTGTCTTTTGATGTCTTTTGCCTGTACCCTCCTACGGCCTTGTTTTCGAGAAAGCATTTAGACCGTTTCCATTTTGAATGTGAATCCTTGTCTTTCCTGATCGTTCTTTGGACTTGAGACTCTAGACATCTTAGACCGTGGACCTTTTGTCTTCCTGCCCCAGGGATGTGCGCTGACCGCTGCCAAGTCTTTCTTTTATTTGATAGATGCGGAGGCATAGTCCCAACCGGCGTGGGCCTCTTGCCTTAGCTTTCAGGAGATGTTCAATGGCTTTGTTCTTACCACACCCCTCCGATGATAAGTGCCAAGTATCAATAAGAGCTCGGTGATTTCGATGTGTGTTTGATCTTTGCTCAATGGTGAGGCATGTTTGTGATGCTGCCAAGTTGCCATGGGTTATGACTCTTTCCAGCAGCGCATGCAACGCGGCACGCGGGTGGCATTGCAGCAGGGCAGCCCAGGCCGGCCTTCTGAGATCAGTGGAAAAACTCAAGTACAAAAAACTCAATAAAAAAAACAAACACGTTAAAGTTAAAACGCTACGAGGTTGGAGTCCATCGCTAAGTTACTAGGGTGGGGGCCATCGCTATTAGGTTGGAGGCTATCGCTGTTAGGT